GTATACTTGGCTTCTATAAGATCTTTAGGATGTACATAGAGGATTTCTTCAATAGTTTCCTCTTTGGCAAATCCTTGAATGAAGAAATGTTTCAAGATATCATTAATGAACAATTTTTTTTTTAAAGTTCCTACAAATCTTGTCACTACTAATTCAAAACACCAAATATATGATGTAATGTCTTCATCTTTCCTTTATCTAAGGGAGGATAAAATAGTTAAGATTGTGTTTTGCACTTCAAGTCCTCTAGCATCCAAAACTTTTATATCATATATTGCACAATATCTACAACATTATTGTAGTCATATATAATAGTATAGCAGTACAACCCAACTAAATTTTGGTACCTAGCATAGTAGTGTCCAGAACCTAATAGCAAAACAAACTCAAATTGTGATTTTTTTCTTTTTTTTTTTTCTTTTTTTTTGATTTACTTCATTCTAAATCGGTATACCACAAATTGAAGAGAAAGAGAGATTCTTCTCAAATCAAAGATTAGAAATCTATACTAAACTAAGTCAAGCTATTTTTTACACTACACAGAAAGAATCAAAGAGTGCAAGTATAAAAATAAGAAAAAATCATAAAGCTTTATTAAAATGGCTAAAATACCATAGCTAAGTGTGAGTCACACAAATGACTCACAAATTTTTTTAATACAAGAAAGACACTTGTACTACTTTAAGTCACTATTTTAATGAATTCATATAGGAGTTTTGATATATATATATATATATATATATATATATATATATATACAATAAAATGTTAGTTGCAAGAATGAATCTCTTGTAAAGTTGTCCTTGAGAAGGGATTTTAAACTATATATTCTTTCTTTAGATTAGCCAATAAAAAATTAAGATTTTTAATACTAGTCTTATTTCCATTATATGTTCAATGGAGCTAGAATTCAAATGGGATCCTTGATCCAAAACAACCCGAAAGGAAAAAATAAGATTAAAAAAAAAAAAAAAAAAAAAAAAAAAAACTTTGTAGCTTTAGACAACTACATAAAAAAGAGTTAATAGATTAGAAAAGAAAAAAAAAAAAAAAAAAAAAAAAAAAGAAAGAATTGGGAAAAAATAAAAGATGGATGGATGCCTCCGAATTTTGGCAGCCTCTCTACCAATAGGAGTCCGGACCGCCCTGGATCCACTCTCTCTCTTCTTTGTTTTTTCTGTCTCACAGCTCACGAACTCTGACACTTTGGAAGGATTTTTTTTTTTTTTTTTTTTTCTTTTTCTTTCTCTCTCTTGCCTCCTCCATGTAGTGGGCATGCTGCGGTGCAGCAACTCCCTTTCTTGTTTTTAGTTATGGTGTGCATTTTTGTTCTGGGTCTCCAAAGTTTAGGATGGTTGCGGAAGGTCGCTCTCTTCTTTGATGTCGTTGCAGCGGTTGAGCGAGTTGGAACAAGATCCACATTTATTGGTGTGCAGTCGACTGTGAAGATTATATTTAGTGGTAGAGACAACAATTCTACAGTCAATGGCTGCCTTGTTCTCTATAATTATGACGTTACGGCTAGAGGTCTTGTGGATCTAGTTCCTCGAGTTGTTGGATGGTAGCTAGCATATGCATTTGATTCCCTCAATTGGCAGATGTTTTGTTATCAATATATGAAGTTGCAAAAAGGTCTTTTCAAGGACAGGAGGAGCCCTACCCAAGCTAGTTGGTCTAGGCTTCTCAAAACATTCCCTATTCTCAATTTTTGCAGATGTGAAGCTGAAGGTTTTTCCCTTAGTGAAGGTTACAGTATAACTGTCACAACCACCAAGAGTCACATCAGAGTAGTTTGCAATCCATATGAGGCAATACATCAAGTTACATATGCAATTCATAACAAAGGCCACAACAATCCTTGGATCTAATTCTAGCCGCAATTTGTGAGATCTAGTACTCGAACATGAAAGCAACTTGGAGCTGTTGATCCACTTCAGCGCTAGCGTATGCAATTCAAAAGCGATTCAGGCTGCGATGAGATTGTGATGGTGGATTGCGTTAAGCTGCCATTTACTTTCAAGGAGGTCGGTATGTGGTGTTGGAGTGCAATAGAATCACTCAAGGGACGGTGATCATTAACAAGTTATAGATCTAGGCTATGAGATAATTAGGTTAGAGGTGCAGAGTTTAAATTCATGTGTTAGTACTGAGCAGCGAGGAGGTGATGGTTGGGCACTTGGATCGTTAATCCAGTCACCCAACAACTCTTGCGCAAATTCATAAAATTTCAGTAAATCTATACACAGGGAGAATTACCCAGAGCTACAAGAACCTCTAAGACCAACTTGTGATTGTAAACTTGTAGGAATAATTTGGCATGTCCATTGCTGCAATATTAACTCAATTCAACTTTGATCGCGAAGTCCACTCAGAGGCGTTGACGGAAAGGTAGAGCAACCTGTAGGTTGCGATTGAAGGGAATTCAGTGTGGTAAGTTGAGAGTATGACGGAAGACTACTGGCCAAGGAAGACTATATTACTGGCAGAAGGCGGTCTTATTTACGTAGTGATTGGTTTAAAAATGGGAGCATTGGGAGCAATAAATCAAGGTGGAGGCATCCCAAATTCACCCTCAATTCCAGAAATTTGAATGAATTAAGTTACCAGTAAGGAATCAATTAGGCTAAGATGCAATTAAATTAGAGTTTGGAATGAATTATTTTGGGCGGATTTTAAAATTTGGATGAACTTAGTTTAGATATGGATGATAATTTATAGATGAATGGTACTTTAAATTGGATAAATTTTTATTTATAGATGAAAAGTTATTCTTGGATGAAAACTTGATTGTAGAAGAGAAATTGCTTTAGATGAATTTTTAAATTTTTGAGGAATCTAATACTAGAAAAAAATTAAAATTAAAATTGCGTGAATTGAAAATTGATTCATAAGAAAAAGAGAAATTATTGCTATGTGTGTGATTGTGAGTTATGCAAGTGATTTGTGTTGTTGTTGTTGGATGTGTGATGATAAAATTCAATTAATATTTTAAGCCCTAGGATCTTGAGCAAGAGTTAGAGGATTTTTTTTTTTACTCACAATAAGAGGGTTGTAGGACTTATTGGATGTTATTTATAAGATAATCATAAAATGGTAGAATTAGGAATTAATTAAAATTGTTGTGGATCAAAGTAGGTTTCTAACTTGTAAGGGATTATTTAAGTTCATACTAAGCAAATCCTTACAACAAGTTCTCTCACTCTCAAAATTACTCACAAGATTTGACTTGACAAGAATGTCAAGTTAAGGGTTTTTTTCTGCTTAAATACTCAAATCCTAATTGATATGAACAAAGTCAACTAACAAAAAAACTATCAATAGATGAAAAACCACTAATTATACTAAATTACATGCATTTGAGGGAATTTGGTACTTGATGCCATATCATGTGACAAAACCAATATTGCTTAATAGTCTTTATTTAATATCCTAGCCTACATACTCATTTTATAGAAGATTTAATATTCAAACATTAGAATAATAAAAGAGATCTTTAATTTCTTGCATTCAACTGAGGTATATCAACCTATTAGACTATCATAAGTAGAATTCAAAGTTTGATTAAGCTTTTTATCTCATTCACACTTTAAACCAAATACCAAGCCTTGTCTTAGATTCTCTTCAATGTATTGATTATTAATGACTTGCAAAGGGTAATCCAACAATAAAGATTCAAAATAAATAATATGATTAATCTTTCTAAAGAAAATAAAGATTTTTGACTATGCAACCAAATCTTTCTATTGCTAAAGAAATATTTAGACTTATCTTTATTGTTGTCTTAAGGTGTTTTACTTGGACAAGATATTTAAGTCTACCACCAATTCTATAGGCGTGCCTTATAGAAGTGTCTAAGGATACCTTCTATATAGGATAGGAGCAATGTTGAGTAACTCCATTAACTTAGTTGTGGATTTTACTAACATGGTTAAAGGTGACAACATCCTACTTCTTATTGTTGCATAGTTCTCTTAGTTGCCTTATTTATAATATGCAATCTAATTTAAGATTGACTTAATGGGGGCCATAGCAATATTACATTTAAGCTTATTTCAACTATTAATAGCTATTTCTATCATCATCTAGTTTAGATAAATTTTTATTTAATAATTTTTTAGTTGAAAAAAATATTATATATATATATATATTTTTTATTCTGAATAAATTTGAAACATTAAATTATTTTTATATTTTATTTTATGATTTTAAATTTATTGATTTCAATTATTATTTATTAAAAATAATATTTATATTATTATATTTTTATATATATAAATAAAAAATATTAAGATGCATTTATACAATTACCAATTTTTTTTATAATTGACTATAACATACATTCAAAAAGAATATATATATATATACATATATATACAAAAACAATACATTTTAAAATATGCATACATATATATACAAAAACTACACATTTTAAATTGTCTGAGTCATGTACATGTAAATATTTAGACAAAAATTGATGCACAATACTGCAATACAAAAACAAGTTTTACAGTCTTCATATTTTATATACAATACTAAAATTTAAAAATTGTCATAGAATTTTGTTTTAAAAAAATACACAAGTTCTTCAAGCAACTCATTTAAAATGTTTCACTTTTAACAAATTTCACTACCGCATCGGACCTCAGGATTGTGACGATCACCAATGCAGAACCCTCGAGATCTACAGAGAATCTTCTGAACAAACTCTGTCCTCCCAATCAACTCAGAAAACTAGTTTTCGCATTTTTCGAGGTCAAATGAAAACGAACTTCAGTACACGGAGCAGGACTGCGAAGAATACAAATGCAGTATTCAAAAAGTAATTAACATAAGTGACACGGAATCCCCCCATTGGGCAACACAACAAGAACCCAAGGGAGCGGTGAGACCTCCGTTCTCACGCGCTCCAGGGTCCGAGCCTCCCCAAGGCACCACCCCCCAGCTTTCGAGGAAGCTCCCTGTGCACTTAAGTGGAACGGCGTGGGGTGGGATGAGATGGGCCGGCCTCGTCAGATCCGGGCTGGTATGGGGAATGGGGGCTCAGGGGAAGAGCACACGGATGGCAGAGAGGGAGAGATGATGCGATGATGCGATGATGCAAGCGGGGTGAAGCATCTCGCCCCTGCCTGCTCTCATTCTCATGCTCCGCCCCGCTTTTCGCTGCTAAATCCTTGCGCCTCCACTGTGTGCTCCCCTGGTCTTGAATACGGGTTTAGTGGGTGGGTTCCTTCACACTGCTTTCCACGCCCCACTCTGTTTCATCGACCGAGAGTTGTGTGGCACTTCACTGCAGCAGCTCTTTGCGTGGTCCTGTTTCCCTCGGCGTCCACAGAGGTTGTGCACATTGTCCTCGACCTGTCCCAGTTCCGTTCGATACGTCCGTGGATCCGAGTGCGGTGTTGGTTGTTTGTTGTTTTGCAGATGTATGAGGAGGGGATGTTCAGACGCTGCTGTGTTGTGTGTATGAAGATCAGTGGTTGACGAGAGAGTGAGGTTGTGTTGGAATGTGGCAGTTTGTTTTCTTTTTTTACTGATGTGGGTTTTGTGGTGGTGAAGGTTTGTGGGTGCAGAAGTTGGCAGATATGGCGAAGGAAGGGGCGAGGCATTTGGTGAGCAACATTGGCGGAGTTTTGCCGAAACATGAGGTCCTCAAGTCGACTGAAGAGTACGTTTCGTTCTTGTTGCATCTTTCTTGCTTGGTTGAGGCGTAAATTAGGTGCTTGGGATCTGTGTTGTAGTCGATGGAAGGGTTGTTGTGTGCATGCTCCTTTGCATGCATTTCTTCGCCATTGTAGGATCGGTTGTTTTGGGGGCTTGGGGACGGCTTCCAGGTTGTCGCGAGTCTGCTCAGTGCATTCTTTCAAGTTGCTACTAGCTGCCGGTGTTCGATTCCGTTCACGTCATAGAACATGTGATGAGAAATCCGTTAACGCTATTGGGTAGCCATCGACGAGCAGGACGTTACAGACCTGGTATAGGACAGTGGTGTGCAGAATTAGTTCATGAGATCACTTGGCCATTGTTTGGAGGTGGTAGGACTGCTAGTCGGCGTGTGTCAACGTACTGCGAATCAAGCAAGATCCAGTGGGCGGGCAACATGTATCCGGGATTGTCAAGAAGAGCTACTATATAGCAGCGTTTATGGTGAGGTTGGAGAGAATGTCGGAGTTGTGGGAGGTAACAGATGTGTCTGGCGTGGTGATGCAGGTACGAGAAGTATCATGCTATGCACGGAGGCGACAAAGAAGCAAGAAAGAGCAATTACACTGACATGGTGAGCTCGTTTTACTTTTCGCGTGTGCATCGGTCTTGAGGTCGTGCAGGTGATTATAGTTTTGGTTTGCTGTTTCTCCTTGTAGTGTGTTGTGTTTTGCGGCAGTGTTTGTGGATGGTCCTCTGACAGCGGTTAATGTGGAGATCGGATAGGGGATGTTACTTTGCGGAGTATACAAGCCTCACTTTTGTCTGTTGCCTTTGTTGTCAGGTGAACAAGTACTACGACCTTGTTAACAGCTTCTACGAGTATGGGTGGGGAGAGTCTTACCACTTTGCCAACAGGTGATTATTAACGTCTGCTTGGTCTCAAATCGTGGAACATGGTCGGAACACTTGTATAGCCTAAGATGACTCGGGTCCGGATCCAACATTTCCACCGACTTCCAGGTTCAAGGGAACAAGGCGGCATTTGTGGGACTCTTGGGTTTCACATCGTGCATCTTTCTGACAAAGCTGTAGAGAGTTACACTATCACCCTGAAATTCAGGAGTGGTGGGCAGCGTAGTTCGTTCCTAGTTCCTGCCAAGGAGGAGTTGTCGGAATAATCTGCGTTGGTTGTTTATTTTTGTGGAAGTGCAGTACTGCGTTACTACAGAGTGTGTACGAACGTGTTTGATACTTGTATTTATTGGGTCAATCACAACCTCACACGTGAGTGCCATGAGGAAAGCTTTATCTCGTTAATCTGAGCCTGGAAGGCCTGAAGAGAACTCTGCCATTCAATGTGTCTGAGCGTTCTGTGGTAGTGTTGTGTCGACGTTTAGTGTTAGATGATTTTGTTATTTACATGATACTCTTCGAGAGTTCTGCAAGCAGCACGTGCCAAGCATTGTCATGGCTCATCTGAATGTATGATGTTATTAACCGCAGATGGCGCGGGGAAACGCTTCGTGAAAGCATTAAACGACACGAGCATTTTCTGGCTTTGCATCTTCATTTGAAACCAGGAATGAAGGTAGCATTTTGTTGCTGTGTCGTGAATGCTGTCGATAGTGCGGGTAACAGGCGTGAGCAGGTTGTATCGTGGTTGAGTGCTTGTGGTGGGGTGGGTACTCCCGTTTCTGGAATAGTGTGTGGTACAGTTGGATTCTGTGAAGCGGTGCAATTTTGAGCAACGCTGGCCTTGAATGTATGAGGAGGTTTCTGACACGATTACTGGCTTGGTCAGGTGTTGGATGTCGGGTGTGGAATTGGTGGTCCTGCTCGTGGAATCGCGGCATTTAGGCGAGTTCTCTGCTTTTCCACTCTGAACTAGGCAACGTGTTAGGCATGTGAGTTGTTTTAGGAGGTTTTGGAGATGGGGTCGGTTGGTTGATCCAGTTAGTTTGATTGACGCGCAAGGACGCATCACCTGTCAGCAAGATGTGATACATGTTGAAAACATCTAACAGATCGAAAATTGACCTTGTGGTGTGTGCACTGACTTGTGTACTTCAGTGGAGCCTCAGTGAC